CTATAAATATCAGGTGGGTAAAGTTGGTTAATAATGCTATTCAAGATTTCTATAACTGCTGATTTTCAGTCTGGTTATTTTATCGATTATTGATAGTGGGATAGAGATGTCCAGTGGTGGTCATCTATCTCTCATTCAGTTTTTGCCTAATGTATTTTAGGTCTCTGTTGTTGGGTGTGATACATTTATAAGTGATTTATGTTCCTGCTGTATTGACCATTTTATTATTATAAAATTTCTCTTTGTAGTAGTAGTTCTTGTCTTAAAGTCTGTTTTGTCTGATATAGCACCTTCAGTTCTCTTAGAGTCACTATTTACATGGTATATCACTTTCTATAAAATTTTAAAACTTTCAACCTATCTGTGTACCTGAATATAAAGTGTGTCTCTTACAAACAGCATATACTTGGTCCTACTTTCTCATCCAGTCTGAAAAATCTCAGCCTTTTGATAGAAATGTTGGTCTATTCCCTTTTAATATAATTTTTGATATGGTTGGATTTACATCTGTGTCTTGCTATTTGTTTCCATTCCATATCTTCTTTGTTTCTCTGTTCCTCCTTTGCTGACTTCTGTGTTTAACATTTTCAAGTGTACCATTTTAATTCTTTTGATTTTCAAACTATTTAAAATTTTTTCTTAGTAGTTTCTCTAGAAATTCCAGTATGAATGGTACTTTATCACAATCTACTTCAGGTGAATACTGGCTAATTTCATTAAATTACAGCACATTTGTTCCCTCATAATCTCAATTTCCTCCCCTCTACTTTCTCATATCGTTATATATACTGTATCTACATGTGTAATAAACCCAACAATATAGTTCCATAATTATTCATTTATATGCTCTTGTATCCCTTAAGAAATTAAGAGAAGAAAAAAGAAAAACATACGGCATTTTATATTTTCCTACATTTAGCATTTTCAGTGCTCTTCTTTCTCTTCATTTCTTCCTGTGGATTCAAGTTGCCTGATATTTCCTTTTTAGATGGAGGATTTTTCGTATTTCTTTAGTATTTCCTTAGTATTTCTTGTAAGTCTGCTAGTCACAATTATCCCAGTCTTTATCAGGAAATGTCTTTGTTTCAAAGGACAGTTTTGCTGAACACGGAATCTTGGCTGAGTTTCTTCCTGCAGCACTTTTTGCCCCACTGTTTCTGTGGGTCACCAGCTGAGTGTATAGTTGCTCGCTTCTGTATGATGATATTTTTTTCTTGCTGCTTTTAAGAATTTTCTTTCTTTCAGCAGTTTGTCCGTGATGTGCTTGGGTGAGGATCTCTGTGAATTTATCTTACTTGGGGTTTGATGAGCTTCTTGGATTTGTAGACTAATGTTTTTCTGTCAAGTGTGAGAGTTCTTCACCATTATTTATTTGAAAAGAAACTCCTGGCCCTTTCCCTCTTCTCCTTCCAGGATTCCCATTATGCCTGTATTTGTCGGCTTGCTGTTACTCCAGTGTCCCTGAGGCTCTGCTCCTTTCCTTCAGTTCTCTCCCTCTGTTCTTCAGATTACATATTTTCAGTTGACCCATGTCCAGTTCACTGATTCTTCCTTCTGACCTTTCGAATCTGCTCTTGCTCCAGGGCTTCCCTGGCTGATCCCTGTTAAGTTTCTGGCTAGTTTTCTTATCTGCTGCTGTCCCAACCACCACTAAAAGATCGAGCTAGGAAGGCTGCAGGCTTTCCCGTTTGCCACTGTGAGTGTCGGTTTTCCACGCTCCACTCCCAAACATGGCAGCCCCCTTCAGCCAACCAAGCTGCCAGCCTGCAGACTAGCCTCCCTGGCAGGACGCTGCGCAGGATGAACTGGGCTGGGGAGCAGAATGTCCCAGACTGTCTGAGGCTTGCGTCCAGTGCAGCAGTTTGAGAAGTTAAGCTCTTCTCAGTTTCTTGTCTTTGGCTGATGTCCAGAGATCTGAAATGCATGTTTTTTGACAAATTTGTCTGGCTTCATAGCTGCTTTTTTTGGACAGAGAATGCCTACCTTTCCACTTCTCCATAGCTAGAAGTCTGCTTGCACTTAGATTTTTGGCCTGCTAAATTTTTACTGCCATAGCAGATTTTAGGAGCTTTCAGAAGACTTTAAACATATGTTTTACCCAGCATTTTTGGTATTTCCAGTGGGAGGATCAGTCTGGATATCTCAGAAGAGAGTTAATACTCTGTCAGTTTTTTGTGACCGTTAAAGGAAATTCTTTTTGCAAAGAATCGAGTAAAGTGTCCGCAACATAAAGGGGTTCAAGGAACAGTAGTTATAACACCTGAACACTTACACTGGCGGGATCGAACATATATTGCCTTACTTAATCATATCTCCAAGGGCTAGGCATTCCAATTTTAACAGTGCCCCAAAACTTCACGAGACTAGGGGCATAGCGGTGGTGAATGGTGGCGTCGGGCCTACCGCTGTTCCTGCCGAGAAGGAGGCTTCAGTGGCTGCTCTCCGGGGCGAGGGAGCAAGTCCGTCACAGGTGTCAGGGAGACGGCTCACTGTTACCCACCTGGCAGTGGCCTCCGTCGTAGCAGGCACACACAGACCCCCAAGAGCAGACGGGGCTTTTGCGAAGACAGCCAACGGATGGCGGTGCGATACCTGTGAGTCACTGGCCCTGAGGTTTTAGCGTTCTGCGCCTTTGCCCAAACTCCGACTATGCATACAGTGAGCAATTAAATCTGAACTGACACTACTACAAAAACACCTGAACGACCGAACCTCATTTCATTTAAAGGCTTATACGTATAGTTGGGAATTAATCAGCAATCTCCCGGAGCGAATCTTACAATTTGGTAGAATGCATCCGAGCGACTGTGACTCCGGCCCTCACTTCTGAATGTCCAGAAACGAAGCTCTGCGCTGCTGCGGGAGGTTTCCTAGTCGGTCTCCTCGCTTCCAGGATATGCTCCCCTTTGAGCTGCGCTTTGTGTCCTCACCCCAGCAGTCTTCCCGGAACTTTCTCTGATCGCGTCGTTTCTGTGTGGTTTCTCACTGCTTGCCCATGGTCTCTTAATTCTTCACCCAGCAGCCTTTGCCGTCGGGCTCCTAGGTCCCTGTCCCACGACTCTCTACTCCCGCTGGGCTCCCGACTCACTCTCCTCCCCTCCTCCGCCCTTACCCCCGTCCCCTCCACACCTCTGCTCCGCCTCCCCCTGCATGCTCCCCCCCGCCCTCCCACTGCCTCCTTCCTTCCTGCACACTCTTTTCCCTGTCCCACTTATCAAATCTCACAGGTCCCTTAAAATCTACTTCTTTTCATTCATGCAGTGGACATTCTTCATGCCATGAAGTGTGAGCTCCAGAGGGTGACTCTAAGGTGTCTGTCCCCATAAATTTACCAAAAAAGACAAAATGTCATTTTATTCCACTTCTAGCCTAGCTGTGGCTCCCTTGGGGGGATCTCATTTTGCTGCAGTTGACACATTGCTTTTATCCCACTCTGACCACGTCCAGCTTCAGTACGGCTGGTAGGTCAGCTCTTCGCTCGTCGAGTTCTGCCTCTGTCCTGGGCAGCCTAACCTCGCGTAGGCACATCTCTGACGGGCGTGTGACACAGCACGTGCTTGTGATAAAAGTACTACCCGCCTGTCCGGGGAAAACTGAACTGTGATGCCGAGGGAGTCCACAACCGAGGCAGTCTTAAGTATGTCGCATAACATTCTTGTTACTAAAGTCACAAAGCCATCGGATCTGAGCGCCCCAGTTATTTGCTTCGTGTGGTGCGGGCAGCTGGGCTTCCCTTTAGTTAGAAAAACAAACCCACTGGCACAGCTACAGAGACAATAAAAAGATCGTGGTTCCCAGGGGTTTGGGGAGAGGGAGGGAGGGAGGGAGGGAGGGATGAACAGATGGAGCACAGGGGATTTTTGGGGCAATGAAATTATTCTGTATGACACTGCAGTGGTGGCTACATGTCACTGCGCATTTGTCAAAGCCCGTAGAATGTACAACAGCAAGAGTGAACCTAATGTAAACTATGGACTTTGGTTGATAACAGTGTGTCCATGTTGGTTCACTGATTGTACCAAATACGCCACACTGATGAGGGATGCTGAGGGCAGGGGAGGATATATGTGTGGGTGGGGAGGGCTATGTGCGAACTCTGTATTTTCTGCTCAATTCTGCTGTGAGCCTGAAACTGCTCTAAAAAAATTAAGTCTATTAATTTAAAAAAAAACTGCTGGAATGCTTGGTTTTCTTTCAGCCTGTGTTCCGTGCCCCCCACCTCTTTGTGTCCAGCGTGCCGCCCATGTTTTTGCCAGTTGGCCGTGGATGCCAATGGGACGAAATACAGAACTGGCATGGTTCCCGCGTTCCAGTCCAGTCACCCCCACCTCAGCCTCGTGCTTCCTGGACTCATGGGAGAAGGGTGGAGGGGTGAGTGACAGAGGGTGACGTTAGGGAGAGGAGCAAAGGACGCAACGCAAGAGGAGAAACAAGGGGTGAGGAGGACCGGGGAGGTGTGCGACTCTCTCGAACTGCTCTTACCCTCTTCCGTGGAAACGACCCAGCCTCTCCCAGTCCCTACCGGTTGGGACCGGACCACGCACGTCCGTTTCTGAGATAAGAAAACACGCGTTCAGATAAAAAGTGACTTGACGTAGGAAAGCGGTGGGTGGGGCGCCCTGACCCCAGCGCCGTCTCCGGCACGCTGGCTCCCTCTCCTGCGAGAGCCCGCGTCTCATCCACTGAAGGCGGCCAGAGGCTCGCTGCCTTTCCGCGGTGTGGCGCTTGCTGGGCCTGGAAGGGTGTGTCACTACCGCTCTTGCACCCACGCCACTTGAGCGTTTGATAAAAATACCTTTGTTTTTTATCAGTCACTGGCCTTTAATCGTATCTGACTGAGCTCTAGAAAAATAAGAAACAGAAGCACATCGGGGCTGCTTCTGGGTGGGTTTGAACTTGGCTGCAGGAGGAAGGGGGCTCTCGCCCTCTTTCATTTCCACGGAGGCAAAGTGCTGAGAAAGGAAAAGCAGCTGCGCCCTTAGCGACCCGCTGCTTCTTACCCAGGACATAGATCTCGCCGTTGACCACCGCTGTGCTGAATCGGTACTTCGCGTACTTCATGGGTGCCCGCTCCGCCCACTGATCTTGGCTGGGGTCGTACTTCAGCACTTTGTTGCTTAATCGATCAGGCTCTTCATCAGGAAGATCCATCTGTATGAAATATGACAGCCACTGTGATGCACACCACTTAGCGCTGCGAGCCTGCCAGCGCACTTGATCAGAGCAGACGGCCAAGGAGACATACAGTAACCTCTGTTAACTGCCGTGGCTCCTGCCCACAGACACACCGCATCCCACGACCTGGGGCTACAGGTGCGCTGTCACTGTCAGGGGACTGCACGCTGTGTCATAATGGGGCTCAGGGGTGGGTTACAGCACACAGTCTGTGATCTTAGCAATGAGACGATACAGCATTTTTCTTTTTTAATGAAGCACTGCAAAGCCTTAAAAAGGAAGCCAAGCTTTTTTGAACAGTATTTAAAGTATAATTTTATTTTACCAACGTTTATATTGGTGGACTTAAATAATATCTGTGAGAACCTAATTTTAATAGTTTATAAGGCATTTTCCTTATATTTTTCTAACCCAAATGGAACAAAATTACAGAAACATTTTAGTGTTTCAGTAATGAGAGTATTTTTATACCATAATATAGGAGCAGTCTGAATTTAATTTTCAAGATGCATGGACTAATATAAATTATTTGCAGTTATTTTTATGTATTTATTTTCTTTGTGTGTATATAGATGTTTTAATGACTAGAGACAATAGGAGTTGAATACACACAGATATATCCTAGACTTTGGGTGAAGTAATACTTTTTGTCTGCAGTGTGTCAGGAAGTTTTATGACTTCAAGCTAAAGATGCTTGAGTGTCTTTTGTTTTATGTTCTGGATGCAGGTGTTCAAAGCAGAAATAGTTTCCATACTTACGAAAGTTGCATGCAGTTAATTTTAGCTAGCTGCTTTACATGGACCGTATCAGAGCTATGATCCCGCTGGTGCAGGCACAGCCCCGGCGATCTCGCAGTTTAATGTACTGTTTTAGGTACAGATTAGAGAAAGCTTTCCTTATGCAGTAAATACTCATGTGTTCGAAGACAGTATAAATTAGGAAATACTGACCTTGTTGTTTTAATTTTGCTTCTGATTTAAGTATTTAATCTCTGATTTAGTGAAAGAAAAGCGAAGAAAAGCTTCTAAGTTGTCTTTGGAAAATATTTGTGCAAAATTAACTATGTAATGACTAGTTCTGAGAAAAGCTTAATTACAAATAGTTGCCAGGTTTCAGCTGCTAGCTGTGATTAACTCTACGCCTTTTTTTGATACATAGCGTGAATTAAAAATGCATTCAATGTGAAGTTTAAGGGTTTAAAACAGGTGTGATATACTATAAAAGGCAAAATCCAGGCTTATGAAGTGAATGCAGAAAGCATCAATTTTATCATGAAGCAAATCTGGAGAAACAAGGAATCATATAGGCAAAAATAAAATTTCTTGATGTCACGAGGACAGACAATGCGCTAGTGAGATTAATCTTTATTAGAAAGACTGGACAGCCAGGGCAGGGGGCACTGGAGTGACGCTCCTGTGGGAGCCCCGAGGCATGGAGAGGGACACCGAAGAGGAAAGAAAGGGCCACTGTGGTCACGCTCCACCGACCTTCCAGGCTGGCCTCCCCTCCCTTTGCAGGGCCTCAGTACAGCCTCTGATTTCTCTACCTGCGGGTGCCCAGCGAAGACCAGAAGCATTCAGCCTCACAGCGGCTGTGGTGGAATGACTGTGCTGTCACAGGAGGTTCTGGTTTCCGGCTTAGACCAAGAACCTGAACGTGAAAGAGCCGAGCTACCTGCCTCAGGCCGCAGACAGCAGACAGAACTGGCAGGAGGCTGCAGCGTCCCCGCCCCTGCCCGGGGCTCCTGACAGACCAGCCTGGAGCGGAGGCACCTTTCACGGGCAGCGGGAATGGGGAGGGTTACAAAGGACAAGGACAGAGCGCGAATATGGGAGGAGCTCGTGTCTACGAATGACACTCTTCAGCAGTCCTTCTCCTGATCTACTTTGACACTTTAAAATCTCAGGTTTAATATTCTGTGAAGTGAAAAGCATTACCAAAATGTAAGCCACACTCTTAGTATTCAACCACTGCAGCGTGCGCAGCGCGCAGCCAGCTCAGCACAGCCGTGCGGTGAGGGGCGTGGGGAACTCCTTAACCTGAGGGGTCCAGCCTCCGATCACATAAAGTTTGTCATTCACCGTGACCGCAGCGTGACACGCCAGTTGTAGAGGAAGGGGAGACACCCTTTTCCAGCTGTCCTGCTTCACAGAGTACTTATCAACACAGTTTGTAATGAGATACTGATTTTTCATTTTCATCTGCCCTCCGATAACATAGAGGTCATTGTGGACGCTGCCCAGGGCATAGAGCTCTCGAAACTCAGTTGTGCACAACTTCTCCCAAAATTGGTTTCCTCTATCATGATACCTGTAAATTAACAGAGAGAAGCCAGCGTTAGAGTTAACGAGAAAACAACTTACCAGAGAAACACACTTGTTTCTTTTCCAATTAAAAACAACACGATTTGGTTCTTCTAGTTGGAGAGGAAAAATATTAATATAAAATAGTGATACAGGTTTGAGCTTCCTTTGGGCAAGAAACGCTGAACAAAATATAATGTGCACAGAAACATTCAACCACATCTACCCAGAGAATTTTAGAAAAAATAATATATTGAAAAAGTATAGATTATCCAGGAGTAGCCTTCATTTCCTAATTCTGGGAAAGAAAATTAAAAATGGGAAAGTCTTTGAGAAAATTATTTACAGTTTTACCATATGAGAATAAGTAAAAATAAGAAAAAAATGTCTTAATCTGTGGACCAGAAGTCTCACTTTAATACTACATTAAGGAAATCAGCGTTAGAGCTGAGAATCTGGAGATATTTCAGTTCAGATATCTAACAGATGTGGTAGGGTACACAGAATTTTAAGGCTTGTTCTTGTGGTTTTAAGTGGCTTAGAACGGAGTCAAGGGCATCTGAGTGTATCAAAACCCACCTGTAGGAGTCTGCTAGGCCTTTAAGATCTATTTTAATCTACTGGGTATGGTTATTTCAATCATTTCTACCGTGAATAACTATGTGGGTCTGAGAAGAGCCTTGGGCGAAGAGCGGGGACACTGGGATAAATCCTGGTCTTTCAGTATCTCCTGGAATCCCACGCATTAAGTAACTGCCTCTGTGGACGGGTGTGTGGGGTGTGTGGGGGCCAGCGTTACGCAGTTGCTGAGTGTGGAGTCTGTGGCCATTCTTCGCCTGGCCTCCTGGTAAATCTGTTTTCTCCAGTCGTGACTGGAACACACAGTCTAAGAGGACAGAAGTACTTCTGAGGACAGTGGGATAAAAAATATGTGAAATTAGGTCTGTCCTAGAAAATCCAGAAAGCATGCTTGGAATTCAAAACGAAAACCAAAGGAAAAACAAAAGCCAGAAAAATGTGGAAAATAAGAGAGAAAAGATCTGTTTGGAAACAAGTGAGGAAGCTGTGTGCGTTCTATATAGGTACAGCTTCTAAGAACAGGCTGCGTGTCTTGCGTCAAGCCTCAGACAGGCTTCCCCCCGTTGTTCTAGGCCAGCGCTTACACGCTTCCCCAGGGACAACGTCTCCTTCAGGCTCGGCAGGGGCGTCGGACGGCTGTGCCCCTTCCTGCGGCGAAGTCTGGCTTGTCGCAGGCTGACCGCGGAGACTTCCCAGGCCTCACGGTAGCTGTCCTCTATGAGATTCTGGGTAGGAAACCAGGGTCCCCGGCGCCACGGGTTTATTTTCACCACTGTTTTTAATTGTACTGGATTTGAGCAGAAGAGGGAGGATTAGGTGTCTATCAGTAAGGGCTGCTAAAGCGAGGCCTGTGATTATAGAAACAGAGCTCAAAGATGGGGTTTGGTTTTCTGAGACATGGTTTAAGGAAGCAGGCCAAGAACGAAACATACATCCCGCGAAGGTTGGGAAATACATGTTTGCTGGGCAGCTCGCTAGTCTGACTTTTGTTTTCATATTTTGAATTGAAAATGGGGAGAGAAGATGCCCAGTTAAAGCTGTAAAGCTTGTTGTTTTGGATGTGACATTAAAAACAGAAAAGAACACCGGCAAAGGCATCCAGTGTTCAGAGGCTGACAGTCTAAGCAAGGGCCCCACGTGTCCCCCGCTGTTCGTGCGCGGGAGCTGGAGGGCTGGAGAGGTGTGTGTCTTTTTGAAGGAAACAGCCTACTGGAGAACTAGCCTGCTTCCTCTCTTAATTCCAGAAGAAAAATACCTGTGTGGAAATCCACAAGCAAAGGAGCAAAGGGGACTGAAGAGGGTGGAGGCGAAGTGAACGGGACAAGAGGCAGGATCATTTCTCACACACTCGGCAGCCCTCTGCGAGAGAACGCAGGCATCTGCCCGGGGGCTCGCTTAAGCCCCAAGCAGTGCTCCTGGTGACCTCTCTACTTGCCTTCCTGGTGACCTCCTTATTGGAGGAATGAGGAGGGCTTTGAATGGACGCTCTGACGCTAATTCTGACCAGTGTGGAAGAGCCCGTTGGTGATGGGAACCCACGTGATTCAGGATGGATGAGAAGGAAACGGGGGTGGGGTACACGCCTGCCACAGGAAAGGGGAGTAGGCGGCCAAGACAAGTTAAGAGGAAAGACGTTTGAGGATCAAAACGGACATTTTGCCAGGGTTGGATGCTCGTTAAAAATTAATTCTGATGGCAGAATCATGGACTTACGACCATTATGAGGAAGAAGATCTACCTAAAGACCCCGGGGCGCGCGCGGGGGGGCTCCACGGCGGGGAGGACACGTAGGAGTCTAGTGGCGGGGACCCACGGGAACCGACCCGGGAAAGCCAGGCCTCCTTCCTGGAAGGGCCCCACGGTCTGTACTGGAAGCTCTGAGCGGCTGCTCTGCGACTCAGTGAACCACTGTCACCTGCCACCGCGGGCAGAGGGCCAGTCCCTGTCCAGGGCTCGCGTCCCCAGCCTGCCGCTACTAGGCGAGATGGGACACGCCTTCCTCGTGTGAATGTGACAGAGGCAGCAGGGGATGCTGGCAGGTGACAGGGAACACCAGCCCGCTCGCTCCTTCTCTGTCCCCACTTCACCGTCCAGAAGCACTGAGAGGTCTGTGCAAACCCGGTACGCGGGCCCCAGTCGGGAGGGTGTGGAGGGAGAGCCTGACTTCCTGTGCACGTGTGTCTGGTCACCCGGCGGAGTCAGGAGCTGAGTTCTTGCTGAATGTCAGCGAGCAGACCTGTCTGTCCTCACAGACAAAACGCAGATGATACACCGCTCCTTGGCAGACACTCCGGCCCCTTACAGCTCCAGGGTGGAAGCACTCTTAGGCTCCGAATACTCACCCCACGGGAATCAGTGGTGCAGAATAAAAACTAACAGGTAATTAGTAATTTGGGGCGAGAAAAAAATGACTCATTACTCTCAATCATGAACTAAAAACAGTCAGTTCGAAGTAGTCAGTGTCAATAAACTTAACTTGTTGTTAGGTTATATCTGGCTCTTCAAGAACAAAGCAGTTATATCACAGGCATAAATCATGAAAATTAAGAGTGAAAATATACAATGGAATCATAAAATACATACATCTAACTAATGCAAATTCAACAATATGTTCTTAACAATTAAAGGGAGAGAAAAATAATTTAGAAATGTGGGTGATTTCATTGTGACTTTTACATGTATGCAAAATACATGATTCCAGGAAAATGCATGTAATTTAGGGTGTGGTCACTCTTCCAGGGGTACTTTCTTCTGCTGTTGCTAATATCAAAGCAAGACAATTAAAACATTCACAAGTATGTTGCTCGACACCAACCTGTAGATTTCAACACTCCTGTTCTTCTGTCTGGAGAGTTTAGAGGCACTTGCCTCTCCAGCCACAATGATGGTGTTGTTTTCCGTGACGACGCCGGCACACACGGTGCCCAGCCCCTCCCCGTACTTGGGAGATGAGATGAAGTAGGTCTTGCGCGAGGCAGGATCGTAGCAAAAACTGGCGTCCCCGTAGCTCCTGCGTCGTGACCTGATTCCTGAAGAGTTGTTGCCAATGCAAAGCAAAAGACTGGTCGTCTCCATGCCATAGCGGAGGTTGAGTGAGTGCTGCTGAGGGGTCTTGATGGCTTTGAATGCGTTTTGAATGATGTCAATGCAGTCAGCATCACACAGAAGCATCGTGTTCCTTTTTAGGGCTTGTCTTAAAAAAGAAGGACTGATCAGTTGCAGCCTAACTTGCTTCAAAAGCTCCACAAGATGCGGTGAGCGTGGCTGCTGGTCGTGGTTTACCCACCTCAGAACTAAGTCCAGAATGCCCTCCTCTCTGGACACGTTCAGGTCATCCGATTTGATAAGCGTCAGAAACTGGTGCACTTCAATGTCTAGTATCTCTTCGTGTAAGCTCACCTCAGCAAAGTGCTGATATAAATATTTCTTCGACTGATCGGCTAAATCTTCAGCTCCGATCTGCTTTGCAAAATAGTAGATGCCTACACAGTTGGAGGCATCCATGTGGTCCATCATGTACTTCTGACACACACCGAAGACCTCCTCCATCTGCATGAAATAGGCGGCCATCGCCACAGTCTGCACGTTGGCGTTGCTGATCTCCAAAGCCGCCTCGTACATGTACCTTAGTATCACCGACACACTTTCCGCCGTGGTGTCGTAGAGCACGACCTCCCTCTGAGAACACTCGGCGAGTCCACAGGTGAACATCGCCTTGAAGTAAGGACTAAACGCAGCCAGGACCAGTCTGTGGCAAGGAAACCTCTCCCCTTCCGCTATGAGGACAACGTCGACCATTTCCGCCAGGTCCCTCATGCTCTTAACTGTGTTCAGCAGATTCAAGCTGTGTTGGTGCTTTCCTTCTCCCTCGGTCTTGCACTCCACGGCACCCTCCCCAGCGTTTCTGAGTGAGTCTCCTGCAAACGGAGCTTGGCTCCCGACGGCCTGTTTGCACGTCCGATGACCCACAAAGCACGGAGACGCCATGTCACACTCCTGAGGGAAAGAAAAGCAGCAGTTTCTCCCAAGAAAAAAATTATCTGTGATTTAAATCCGCAGCATGAGTTCTAAGAAGCATTTATAAGTAAATATTCACTCCAAGCAGAGTAGTTTAGCTTTAAGACAACTATTTTGGTATTTAAAAATAATATGGTTGATTGTAAAAGCAGTGAATTATTAACCACTAACATTTTCCTAACCCGCTGGAGAGCCCTGCCCCCCGCGCTGAATCAGGAGGGGAGGATAAGATGGCACCTTTTGCATTAACCCGTCTCCAGTTACCAAGTCCAGCTGACCCGCGGGCGGAGGAATTGGGGCATTAGGTGACATTCTGTCTGAGGAGATGCAACGTCACCTAAAAGGCCGTGCACCTTCCCCCAAAACACACTCAGATGCTATAATGGTCAATCCACAGAATCACAGCGGGGCCGAGTAGGCTGCCTGAAAGAAAAGTCGACTAAAATTCTGCTCCGACTTCGCTCTGGGGCAGATAATTCACACCGGGGCTTTGGAAAGCACAACGCAACGCCTGCTGCTGAGGGGCTCGCGGTGCTGGACGCGTACGGCTGCATCCTCCCAGACTTAGAAGATGCATAAGCCATCCCGTCTCTCTCCCCCTCCGTGCTCAGCTTCTCTCTGCTCCCTGTTTCACGGTGGCAGAGACGGAGCCACCTCTTGCCTGGAAAAGCACTAGTCTGACTGGAAGTCTTAAGATGGTTGTCCCAGCTTCCCCTTCCCCGGGAACGGGATGTTTCAAGGAAGCTGATTAGCTGTTTTGATTTAAAGAAGGACATTCCCAGAGCCAGAAGCCTTAATGCAAGGAGGGGATCTCAAGCCCGTCGCCCTCTCTAGGTCCGAGGTGCTATAAGTTGCGTGCGGTTACGAACAAGCACTGATGGCAGCTGAGAAAGGAGAGGAGGTGGTCATCTCAACACTGAAAGCAGAACTTGTCAGCTGTAAAGGTTATACGTTTTCTAAGCTTCTGTAATCCTGTAAAGGGTTAGAAATCTTACGCGTCTCAGTGAGACACGGCTATTTTTTTCAGTGTTGAATTCAAGTTCATTGTAGGGAACACGTGTTGAGAGCGACAGGAAAGTTTAGTTATGTAAGGGCAACTCTAAGACCTAAAAATTGCTGTGCTGAAGTGTGTGGAATTACAACAACTAGAAATAGAGATAAAACCCTCCTTGCTGGGTTTTCTGGCATTAATGGCTCAGCTTTATTTCAATAAACGCTTCAGACTTTCTTTGCAAGGGCTTGCGGCTAAGAAGTCAACCTTTGCTTTTTGCTTTTACTTGCTTTAGACTTTTACAAAGAGAATCCTATTCCGGGTGAGGTCATTACATTTCTGAACTCTCCCACAACACTCTGTGATGAGCCCAAATCATATTGTGTAGACCTCCTCACACAAAAAGAAATCAATCAGCTTTATGGATGACAGCTGTTACTTCAAGCTAGAAAGGATTAAAAACTTCCTTTTAAGGAAATGTTTTAAAAGCTTCTCTCTCGTTTGCACCGGTATACAAGAACCCCTCAACGGGTGCCAGCACCCACAATGCGAGAGGACCGAGAGCAGCTTCCAGGTGGGAGTGCTCGATCCAGCGCACTACAGGCAGTTCAGTCTCCTTCGTTCCTAAGGGATGGCGCTGCGAGGAGCAAACGAGATGCTGGGGACCCGAGCATTTCGTATCTTTAAGGCAGGGACCAAACCACCCTTGTTGAACTTTCTGGCACAGGGCTGGTTTAGTAAAGCGTAGGTGGCGTGGGTTTCAGAGAGAGGTTACAGATGGAATAAGCAGCACACCGTGTGCTGGCCGTCCTTATAAACACGTCACAGGTAATGTCTTATAAGCGGCTCTGCAGTGGGCAGTGTCGGCCTTCTAGAATCCAGCCTGCCTTCCCTCGCTGCTGCGGGGTGGGGCGGCTCCCATTCCCCTCACCACTGTGACTGGTGCCGGGACTGGCATAGGACCTGAGACAGGCCTGATGGGAGGGAAGCTGTCTCCGGTCCAGTGGTTGGAGGCTCCACATGTTACAAAGATGAGAGGTCTGGAGCTGTGGCAGCCGTGTGCCCGTGGGCAGCGTGAGGATGAAGCCAAGACAGGAAGAAGGCAGAGACTTCAGGGCGCGGGAGCTGGAAGCATGCCCTACGCCTGAACTTCGCCACTTTGAGATAGAAACCATGCCCTCGTTGTTTAAGCCAGTTTGAATTTGGAGTGAGTCCTGACTAATATAAATGGCATGTGCAAAAATATTGAGAAAACGTCGTTTAAGGTAATTGCAGTGACATATTTTATAAAATTTCACTTTTGGTATATTCTTATATTTTCTCTTACTCATACCACCAAGTAAGAGAATCATGGAAACCTCTCCTTACCCTCATTCCTCCTTGTTACAAGGCAAAAATCACAGTCACTCTTCTGTGTTTACTGCGTCTCATTGAAAGGCCACAGCATTTTACAGACACGGGAACCGAGTCTTGAACCCAGTTCCATCTAACTCCAAGGTATGAACTCGGTCGCTCCCTCTAGTGCAAGCAGCAGACTAGGGCCAGAGAGCGAACACCTCAGGCTCTGCAGGTTTCCGTCCTCACAGCTCAGCTCTGCTGTGGCACGGCAGGAGCAGCCACAGACGACACACGAACAAACGAGCATGGCCCCGTGCCGGTGAAATGGTCTGCGGATACTGAAACTTGAATTTCATGTATTTTCGCAGCATGAAATATCGTTCTTTTGATTTTAAAAAGCCATTTAAAAATGATAAAATTCATTCTTAGCTCATGGGCTATTCGAGACGGCCAACTCCTGTTCCACTGTTATAAATAAGTCCACTTTCTAGGTCATGAGTAGGGCAGTATCCTATCTGGTGCCTGATTTCCAGTTCTCTGCTCAGATCCAGCTAGGGAGTTCTCAGAAGGGGAAGGGTCAGACTCCTATTTTAAAAAGACCATCTGGTTGTCCCCACGATTCCCAAATTTAAATCAATCTTGAATAAATATTTGGATGCAGTTTCTCTGCCCGAAACATTGGCTTCAACAACAACAAAAAATACTTTTAAAACAGAAATAACTGTTTCAAACATTCAGAAGAAACATTTATGAATTTTTTGAATGGGCACATACATTTGTTAAGTACCCTTTCCCTCCAATTGCCTTTTATACAGCCTCCAAAAGCAACTCTAATTGCTGTGGATTTACAGACCAAATGAATTTACTGGTGGAAATCCTGAAAGATCCCTGAGCAGTTGAATTAGCCACCATACTTCAAGAAACAATGTCAGCATTGTTTCTTGTACACATAAGGTACACAGAAGATACTGGCATTGCAGGTGGGGGCTTTGAAGGGAGAAAGTCCTGGGTCAGATTGGCCACTAACTTGCTGTAATCCTAAAATTATGTAACCTTTCTAAACCTTGGTTTCTGCATCTGTAAAATGGGGATAATGTATATAAACAAAGAAGTTAGATCAGCCATTTGTAACCAAATGCTCACAGTGGTGCAGCAGAGTGTGGTTCAGAGGTGAAAAACACGGGCCCTTGGCCTGGGTTGCCGAGACTGGGTTCTGAGACCTTGCTGTGCCATTTACAACACGAGAGAGTTTCTTAGCATGTCTCTGCTTCCTCACCTGAGATTACTTTGGGTCATTATATAAGCATAGTTGGCACAGGGAACAATATTCAGTATCTTGTAACAAACCATAGTGGAAAAGCACATGAAAAAGAAAAAAAATACATAGCTCTGTCTGTCTGTTTGTCTATCTTACTGAATCACTTTGCTGTACACCAGAAACTAACACATTGCAAGCAAATCAGCTATACTTCAATGAAAAAATTTTTTTAAAGAATAGTTTGACAACATTAAATAAGGCCACGCTCGGACAATGTGTAATCTGCTTGGTAAAACCTGCTTGGTAGAGCTGAAGCCGGATATACCTGTAGAAACAATTTTCCAATAATAACGAGGTTTGGGTCCATATACAACTGCTTGCAGGTAAGACGCAGCTTGCAAATAAAGGATTGCTGACAACGACTTTTTCTTATAATGAGGGCACAGAGGGCATTCCCCTTTCATCAGCATAATAAAATTATATGAATGTTCTCAGTGATATCACTGGGAAGTTATTCTCTGCTCCAATTTATAAAAGGCTGAATTGGTGCATTCATATTAATAGTACCCATAATAATGGAGAAAAAATAAATAGCAAAGATAAATATAAGTCACAAGAATAAAGCCTAATTACTTTGCAAATCTACAATGCAGTAATACCCATGTCCAGTATATTTAGTTTTAAGAAATGGACCGCTGTAAATTTTAGTGTGGCGTAAAAAGGTTAATTTACTTAAACTGCCAATGTTTTGCTTTCACAATGTTTGATTTTATCATCTTTACATTATCTTTAAAATTGCTATTTTTTCTAAATAACGATGGATACACACAACCATGCCTCCATGTTTTGCTGAAGTTAAACCTAGGTTAAATTCATAGCAGCTCTGTTTGAAATAGCAAAAATTTGGAAATAACCTAAATACCCCTTAACAGGAGAACAGACAGACTGTAGCACCTTCACTCAAGAGGATATTGTACAGGATGAAAAAGAACGAACTGGAGCTACGTGTATCAGCATGGACAAATGTCATGAACATTAAAGTGTGAAAAAAACCTGTAACAGAATCAATGCTACATGCCACTGATATCTTGTTTAGCATGTGCTAAACAACTGTATACATTCTAATAGAGTAAATATAGATGATATATTATGACAAAGTAAATACAGTTGGTGAATCTGGTAAAGGGATATGGGAGTTTCTGTACTATTATTAGAACTTTCCCGTAAGTGTGAAGTTATCTCAAAATAAAAAATTAGAAGGATTGTATATTCTTTAAGGACACGTACAACTGTAGTCAAATATAAAGAAATGAAAAGCAATTATAAACAGCAGATTTAGGACAGTGGTTGCCTTCAGGAGGTTGAAAGGAGGGGGACATGACTGGTGAAGGTGACAAGGAGTCTCAACTGCATAATTAGTGTTTG